ATTATTTTTAAAGTTAGCTTTCTAGCACCTCTTTGAAGCTAAAGACGATGTTTGTTAAGAATGGTTACTTGTGTAATATTGCGTTCTTAAAAAGTACTCTAAAACATATAAATAAGTTAACCGGGCAATTGATTTGCATTAACCAATCAGACGAATTTCTGCCTATGATTCATAATGTCATATGAAGGTGGATTTCTTATTAAGTTAATTGCTCTTTTACTTTAAGTAAAAATTGTAGAACTTATCAAGATGCATTTAAAGATAATAAGATCATCAAAAACAGTCCAGTAGATGCCAAAATATTGCTAAAAAATGATTGGCTAACTAAATAAAATTCTATATAAGTTTATATATACTAATCTTTTTCTTCTAGTTAATATTTATAATAGTAGTCTAGTTAGTAAGCAACTTGCTAAATACTCTTATTACATTTAGTTAACTAGTCTTAAATAAAATCTATTTTAATAACTATCATTGAAAGTCTGTACTACTTTTCTATTTGAGTCTTATTAAGTAGATATTCATCTTTCTAATTTCTTGGATTAATATAATTACAAGAACTTATCTTGGATTTGTATTACTCAATTTCTGCTTGTATAGCTTTATATAACTTAAGTATTGCACAAATATCTTATAATCTTCTAATCTTGTTGATACTATTAAGATTACAGAAATCTTATTCTAACTAATCATCAAAAAACAATAATCATTATACAAACAAAATATTCAAAATTTCATTATCAGTAGTTTTAAATCTTAATCTGCTAATATATTGCTTGAAAATACGACAACTTAACTATTTCACTAAGTCACCACATTTATATAATAAAATTTTTAAAAATTAAATTAAAATTAAAATCACTTTAGGGTTGATCTTTAGTATAGGTAGGCATATATAATTATTATATAATTATACCACATATAACTTAATCATTTTGAACTAATTTAAGTAATTTTATAAATTATTAGGGTTAGAATTAAGGTTAAGATTTAAATTAGCTCAAATTAATTAGGTTTTATATATTATAATTTTGTAATAATTTATATAGCTCTTCTATACTAAAGGAAATCCTTAAATATTATTAATATATTTTAATAAACTTGAATAATAATAATTAATTTTAATTAAAATAAAATTTTAATTTTAAAAAAAATCTTTAATATATGGGTTGAGATAATATAAATTAAAAAAAATTTTTTAAATAAATTTTGTTTAAACTTTTAAACAATAACTTAACAAAAATTTAATCAAATTTAATAAAATTTTTAAAAGCTTATAAAAAAATTTTATTAAATTTAAACAAGTTTGGTTAAGTTATTGGTATATAAAGTTTTTAAAAAAAATTAATAAAAACAATTTGCTTGATTTCTACTAACTCATCTTTATATATTTAAAAATAATCCTTTTTTTTATTAATAAAAATAATAAACAATAAAAAATAAAAAAAAACATATGTAGTTTGTTTTTTTAACATATAGACTTTAATTATAAGATTTATATTACTATAAGATTTTTGTATAACGTATAATAATAATACAATAACTTATACAACGAAGTATATCTTCAAAATTAGATTAATCAGGTTAACCAAACTGTTTACAGATTGAAGATCAAATCAATAAACTATTAATAAAGTGTTAATATTAGTGCCACGTTCACAATTAAAGTGTAGATATTGATACACCAAAAATTTGATCCATTTTAGTCTATAACGATAATCAACCGAAAAAAACGCAGTATCTCAAGTAAGTCACGATTTGTTAGTATTAACAAATTGGATCATTAATATGTCATAAGTTTCCGCATTTGAAGACTTAAGACATCATAAAGACATCAGCTACTTGTAATAGGCAATAAAATGACGAACGAATTACCGATTCATTTAAAATGACATTTTGATTGGTTTTGAGATTAACTATTACCATGTTCAAATCGACTTTTGGATAGTTTTGTCCATTCACTATATGACGTAAACTATGTATGATCATGATATTATTTAATCATAGTTGGCAGGTAGAGTCTACTAAAATATATATATATATATTCTTTATTAAATTTATAATCATCCAAGCTCTTTCCCTCCATTTTTTTTTTTTACTCAAATAAAAGGCTGCGTATTAGCCCTTCCTTATTGGATATCAAATGACAACTCTACACAAGCGTAACCAAGAAAGAACTCACGAAGGTACTATCCGTATTGAAAGAAGTGAAAGTTAGCATATTTATACAGTTCTTTGCTATCCTTCGTGACTTTATATGAAGATTTTACGTAATTATAATGACGATATTTTGTTTGATTTTCGTAGAAAATCAAGAACGAGCTTATATTGCCGCAAGTCATCGTGGAGTAAGTTTGAAAAATCTAATGTAAATTCAAATAAATGAATAGAAGGGATTAATTTTATATCTGTAGGATCGCAGCATGGAAGCTCGTATCGAATCAGCTCGTAAAGCTTCGGAAATTCACAAAAAGCGTACCGGCAAAGCTCTACGTATCACCCCCGAAGATGTTAGGAATGAAGAAATGTATCAAGAAATCGATCCTGAAGAGGAGGCTAAGTTAGAGCAGCTTCATCAAGAAGTAATCGGTGAATCTCAGAGTCAAGAAAAATAAGCAATTTCGTGATGATCGCTTGTTTATTTAATTATCATCTTTTTTACGAAATAATTGTTCCGGCTGAATAAACCTTTTGTATATTAAAAAATAGGTTTTTGTGATTATTGCTTCACTGTCATTTACCACATTTTTTGATTGCGTCAGTAACTATCCTGTACAAATATTTTCGCTCTATATTAATTTTTGCGTTGCTTTGTTAATTCACGCATTTATTTTGTCGTTCTTCGTGAGCATTTTAAATTCTGAATGTATGCTTAACCGATAACTAGTATGAATGTTATGCTATATTTTTCGTTTTCAGTATATGCATAGATTATGTTATGCTAATTTTATAGACTTTAAAATTCTTGCGTACAATTATAATAAAATGCTGAGAATTTACATTTATGTTACTTATTTATTGTTTGTAATGATCACTTTTATTTTCAAATTTTGTATTAATTGATTAACGTGCGATATTTGTTATGTAATATTTTATTTAAAAACTTTATTCATATATAATATGATTAAGCAATATTAAAACGTAATAGTTTGTGGTAACATCACGTAATAAATAGTATTTTTCAAGTTTATTTTACATTGTAGAAGATACTATATACGACACTAACTAGTTTTTGTTGATTTGAAGTTATTATAATAGTAAAAAAAAACATTTGATTATAATTTGGGGGTGAATCAATAGAAATCAAGCAAATTATTTTTATTGAATTTTTTTTAAAACTTTATATGCTAATAACTTAACCAAAACTTGATTAAATTTAATAAAATTTTTCTTAAACCAATTCTGTAAGTTTGTAGAATCTATTTAAAAAAAAATTATTAAATTTGATTAAGGTTTGATTAAGTTATTGTTGTTTAAAGTTTAACAAAAATTTACTTAGAAAAAATTTGCTTGATTTCTATTGACTCAACCCCATTTATTATTTTTAGAAAATTTTAAAAATTTTAGATATAATAATACAATATAGGTTATTTTTTATACAGTATTATAATATTAAACAGTTTTATTCAATTATATTAGTAGTGCTAATATTATTTCAAAGAAAAAATGTTGTTTTTACTGGTGGTCATTAATATTCACCCCTATTTTTATATTATTTTTATATCAAAATTTAGGGTTAGGGTGTAATTATATACTAAAATAGAGGTCAAATATAAAGGTTAGAGGTCAGGTATAAAGGCTCACATTTTGGGTTATACAAGGTTTTTTAAGAGCTAAACATTTTTACTTAGTACATCTGACCTCTGTTTTTTAATCATTTTTTTGAGATATAGCATCTTGGATATCAATATCCTCTGATATAAATTATAAATCTCTATTTTTATTATATTTTTATTATATATTAATTGGCAATTTTTATTTGTATATGAATATATAGAAAGTCAGTCAGATTGCATAATTAGGTATAACTTAAAATTATTGTTTTTTTTAAAATATTATCTATATTTCAAAATTTCGTTTATGAAATCACCTTTTTGATTCTAACAAAAAAAATTTCTTGTGAAATTTTGATATAAACTATGATCCACCCAATTTTAAATACACCCTTGCTCTAACCCAAAGTAAGGTTTAATTTTTTGTTTTATAAAAATTGTTTTAATTTGTATATTATACAAATTTTTAAATTAATACCTATGTATTATATACTATATATACACTTAGTAATTTTTATTTTTTTAAGATAACCTCTTTGTCATGCTGCTCTTTATTTGAATATTAGTAGTATTTTTAATCGTCAGAACATTCTGACAGCTATACATATTTGTAGAGTACAACTAGCTATATCTGTACCTTTTAAGTGTCTATTTAAGTATTTACTTATTACTAGGTTCTATACTAGATATTGTACCTGCACTCTGACTAAGGAGGTATCCATTTAAACCCTTTGCATCTATATATCAACCCTTTTTTACCCAAGTAATGATACTTAGTTTTACCTTATTTTCACATGCTAGTTTAGGGCTTTAAAGTAGTCTTTACTATTTTAGAGAGTTCTTTGACCTCGAGATAAATCTGCTAAAGCCTTTTATATCTACATTTAGGCTGATCTAGATTTCAGTAACTTACACCTAGTTCAAAAACAAGTACTTGTGAGCTGAAGCTACTATTGTTATCTACTTCTGTTCTTATAGAGTTCACTCATATTCCAGCTTCAATACTTATCCAATTAGGAACCCTTTCACTATTTCACCAAAATTCTAATATAGATAGCCTGGTTTGGTTCACAAGTTGCATTACCCACTTTTCTACTGGCTTAACCCAGATACCAGCCTGTGCTTTTTTCTTTTAGTCGATTCCGATGGTCTGGTTAGTATAGTATTCATCAAATACTCAGTCTTTATCCAGATTCACAGCTTATTAGTTTACTTCTTAGACTTTTTAGAACTATTAAAAATATGCACTACCTTTTTACTCAGGACTTGCCAAGTGGGTTCCTATTCAGAACTAGTCCACCAGATTTATACAAATCACAAAGACTTATCGTAGGTTTATATCACCTTTTTTATCAGTTTGTATTCTTTCATATAACTTCTTTATTATATGAATACTCCATAATCTTCTAAGTCTGTGCTACTGCCTCTGATAGACCTTGCGAGATAAGCTATTCATTAGGCAATTAATACCCTTTGTACCTATTTGGTCTGACCATTGTTACAGAATCTACATCCTAATACCCAAATAGTTATCATTATATAGAAAAATTCGATTTTTTGTTGTCGATAGAAATTGAACTTTAGATGTGCTACTTGGGAAGCAACAACTTGATCACTTTACTAAGTTGCCACACCCCCTTAGTAATTTTCATATTAATTATATAATAATTATATTTTATATAACAAAATAACTACATATCACCACTGGTGATCATCATCAGTGATTTACAGGTGTAATGTATAAATCAAAGTAATTTTTTAAAACAAAGGTTTAATTTTTTAATATTAGAGTAAGGGTGGGGATATGATGTTGGGGTTAGGTAAAGGTTATAGTAAAATTTTGCAAGGAATTTTTTTTATTAAGGCCCAAAAGGTGGTTTCATAAATAAAATTTTAAGATACAATTAATTTTTTAAAAATTCTTTGTTTTTGTTATACAAAATTGATTTACACGTTATACCTGATCTTGCAAATTAATTAGTTAATTATATACTGGTGATGATCACTAGTGGCAATAAATAGCAAACTCCTTTATATAATATTTTTAACATATATTAAAAATAAAGTTATAACAAACTTAATATATATGTTTAAAATTGTTTAATTGATAATCTATCTATAAACTGGAGAATAGACGAAATGAGATGATTGCTATCTAAAACTTTTTTCTTACTAAGTTAAGGATGTATGCTTTTTAATTGAAAGTTGTAAAGCTTATCGAGACACATATAACGGTAGTTAGATTAGAGGTCTGATTTGATCAAAAAATTTGTATTCGGATATTTATTTGTTCAATCTTTTTAATATTCGAATATTTATTGAAAATTTTAAATGAATATTCGAATATTTACTGAATATTCAATGAATATTATATTATAATAATTCTAACTTTATATTAAAAATAAGATTTTTTTATTCTATATTCTATATATTGTTAATCTATAAATCAAGATAAGTTTTTATATTAATTGGTAATTTGTTACTCAACCAGAAAGCTCATAATGTAATGTAATGCAGTTTATATATAAATATTAGAGTTTTTGGAATGTGAGCTGCTTCTATCTAAAACTTTTTTTTGTACTAAGTTAATCATCTTTAGGCCTCTAATTGAAGTTATAGAGCTTGTCAAGACGAATCTAATAGAAGTTGAATCATTAAAATTGGCCTTATAAATCATAAGATATCTTTGAAAAACATTTCACTAACTATGTAAACTTCTTTTTTAACAATAGTATTGTTGAAAGAGAAGTTTACATAGTCAGTAAAACGTTTTTTGAAGATATCTCATGATTTATAAGACTAATTTTAACAATTTAACTACTATTAGATTTGTCTTGATAAGCTTTACAACTTTAATTAGAGGCCTAAAGGTAATTAACTTAGTACAAAAAAAAGTTTTAGATAGAAGCAGCTTTAATATTAGCTAAGCTACAAAAAACATTTACTGAATATTCATTGAATATTTAATGAATATTCATTGAATGTTTTTTGTGGCTTAGATTTAAACATATATATATTTATCGAATATTCATTGAATATTTGGTGAAAAAATTAAATATTCAAATATTCAATTTGGTGAAAAAATTAGTATTCGAATATTCGAATATTCAATGAATATTCGAATATACTATACTATTCATCAGATCAAACCTCTAGGTTAGATCATCCAAATCAGCCTAGTAGATGGCGAGATATCATCAGAATACGATTGGCTAACTATATAAAAATCTGTAATAGAAATTACATATGAAAATCACTATCGTCAAAATGTGGCGAGCTCCTATCTAAAACTTTTTTTCTTACTAAGTTAATGATATATAGCCATTACAGTCTCAGATATTACCAAATATGGAAATTAATCTACTATTAGTAAATGACTCTTCTAGAATCGATTTATATAGTATTTTTATTTTTTTTTATAAAAAATCATTTAATAATAAACTTTCAAATTAATTTTAATAAAAATTGTCCTATGATTATGTAGTCTAGGGATCCCTCATGATCCCAAGGGCTTTAGAAGGCAGCTGTTTACCAAATAAGAAAACGAACGGTAATTGGCGTAAATTTAGCCTCATAGATCTTCATAGATTAGTAATAGACTTAAATAGAAGCCTTAAGAATTTTTTAATCGTACAAAAAAGGAGGTGATTTGCAACATCTAAATTTGGTAATATCCGAGACTGTACTACAAGACAGAAATATGTGTCTTCATATATTCAATTATCTAATTAACTATT